CCGCTCTTTTTCGCGCGCTCAGGCATAATGTATACCCGCTTGTATATAACACCTACACACCCACACGCGTACACACATAAATACACAGCCACACTAACCTCTCTCTCTCTCTCTCTCTCACTGTTGCTTCGCACGCCAGCAAAATGAAAGAATTATGGCGTCTTTACTACGCGTGTATGTGTTTATGCATGTATAACGAAACTTACACCGACACACGGCGAATTTTAATGCGTTTCTCGCTCGAGAGCAAAAAAATAATATTTATTTCGTCGTGTGATTAAGCAAATGCGCGTTGACGTCGCCGCGCGCAGTGTATTTAAACGCAAGCAGTTCCCGAGGACGGCTGACTCGCAAGCTTTTAGAAACCGTTGAGAGAGAGAGAGAGCACGCGTAATAGCCGTGTGGCCACTCTTGTTATCGCCGCTGTTCGGCTTTAAAATTGCGCCTTTTTGTATATAAATATAACCGAGAGTTCCTTCTTTTTTTTTGCTCTATTAGCGAATTTGCACGCGTGCGTGGTTACGCGAGTACAAGAGCTTTCATTCAAGTTTCATGCACACAGACTTGGAGTAGTTGGCGCGATGAAGTGAGAACGGTCTTCTTTCCTTTTTTTTATCATCGTAGCTGTTGAAAACGCCTCATCAAAGACGAGAGAAAAGATTGGCTTCATTCACGGACACGCGCGCCTTTAATATGCGAGAATTTAAGCCGTTTTCATCAATACGTACTCGCAGCTGCGAGTGCAGTCAAAAATTCGATTAGCTCGCCTTTTCTCATTCGAATCGAACGTATATGCACGCGCGCACCAGTTCGGGCTGTTCTTTTTCTCAAATAATCTTTAATCTCCGCGAACGATTGATGATTGCTCCTCTATTTTTTTTGGATTTTATCTTATACGTACCGGCATATAGCCTTTCCGGAGGATTCATTTGAATGGCGGCAGCGGCGTCTGCGTTTGCGTCGGCGAGCTGCAGCAGCACGGAGCTATTTGCTCATTGCAAAAAGTCCGACTGAAGTGGCAAGCCTCTGACCCTCGAGTGTGTACATCGAAATTCACTCGATGTATATTAGATCAGCCTTATATACAGTTAGAAATAGCGACCCTCCGCGAATGCACGTGAATATCGATATTCATTAACTCGAGTGCTCGAAATGCGCCTCTTTATGAATAGAGCGCGCGCAAAGCGAGGTAATATAGCCCTCGTACCTCGTTCCACCGGTCTCGGCAGTGCAGTGCAGTGCTGCTGCTGCTGCTACACGTGTATGTATATATCGGCGCCCGGGCTTGTATTAAGGGATCAATCTTATCAGGAAGAGGCATTACTTTGACCATATAAGACATCGCGCGTGGGGGGATGGTGCTGGGCTGCGATGCTCGCGCGATGCAAGCATGGCAACGTGTAAGTAGCCTGGCTTCACGCTATAGCGACATATTTTATACCCCCGCTCGGAGAAGCGATGATTGCTCGACGCTAGAAAAGATAGATCACAAAGTGTTGCAGAGAGAGAGAGCAAGTGAGAAAGTGAGAGAGAGAGGAGAAGGTGTTTAAGTACATTGCGTGTAGCCTGTTAATTTGTTGGCAGCCAGGCCGTGGCGCTACAGCCGTCGGGGCGAGAAGAATAATTAAAGCGCGCACTGCCGTAGCTACTGCCGCCGCCACGCATCCCCACGAGGACTAACAAACGCTTCAATCACGGCCAGGCCGTCTCTTCATTTTCCTTGGGCTAATAATTTGTTATTATCTGCAGCCAGGCCTCGATTGTGCGAGAGTCGCGCGTCCGTTGATTCATCAGTATACGGCAGAGAGGAGAGGGGAAGGGAGAGAGCGACGAAGCTAATTTGATTTATTATATAGGAAAAATATCGTCGCGCGAAAGCGTGCGAAGCGATATCTCGTTCGTTGTAAAAAGCTTTGATCGTAAAAAAGCTCGTGGATAGATATAAAAAATAAAGTACTGCGCGCGTATACAGCCTAGGCAGCTGAGCTCTAGCTGTGTGCGCGTGTGTGTGTGTCTGTTTGTAGGCGCGTATGATCTCTGAAAGAGTATAAAATATAAGCAGCGCAAGCGCGTATACGAACGGTACAGAGTAGCCATTGTACTAGCCCCGCTGGCCGAGGCTCTAGCTGCAATATGTGTGCGTGAGAGAGAGATACTCGCGAAGAGATCGGCAGCTCGTAATTTAGTCCAAAGTTATACTCTACACAGCAGCAAATATATATATACGGCCAGCTCACGCATATTCGCATAACTATAAACAGAGAGAGAGAGAGACTAGAGTTGGCTCTTGAGTCTGTGTGGATGTATGGATAATTCCACGTGCACACGCTACAGAACCGAGCAGTGTTTGTTAGGGTATGTGTGTGTGCTTTTTCCCTCTCTCTTTCTCTCTCAACGTTGCCGATAACGCTTATCCGTTTGCTGGATTTATTGCCGCGAGCTCGGAGTATAGCAACGCGCGGCGCGCGGCCATTCCGATGTTAATTAGAAGCTCGTGCAGCTGAGAGAAAGAGAAAGAGAGAGAGCCCACACACGAGCTGCTGCTACGACAACGACGTTGACATACTTTATACCTAACGTCGGGACTCTGGCACGCGATCTCTCGACGACGCTCGTATGTATACACGTTTCTCTCTCTCTCAACTGCTGCTCGCGAGCTTATGTTTGTGTACGTGTAAATGCATGCCTGCGCGAGCTCGAGTTTCTACTACTGCGGTGCTAGCTCTCCCTGAACTCGTCATCGCGTATACACAGTACTCTATACTGCCAAGTATAGCAGAGGGGCTAATACCGATATGCGTTTAAGATATGTGCGCGCGAGCGGGGCCAGACCTTGTTTGTTCGTCGTTTGTGCGTTTGACGGCTGCGAGCGAGGCGCTTATGCACACCGGCTCGCTGTACTTCTCGTGTGCGCGAGGGGGATGCTGGACGCGGCAGCACAGAGGAGGAGGACGACGACGGATTAATTCACGCGCACTTGGCCGCGACATCGGATCGTTAATGACGATTCTCGAGTGGTTGTGGGCATTCGTTGCGGTGAAATTATCACGAATATTTTGCGCAACGAGATTCGACGAAAAAATCGCCCATTTGATGGATTGCCTTTGTCCGCGTATTGTGCGCGTATGTACAAAACTTTTATCACGACCATTCGACGAATATTTTGCTTTTACGCGTGTGAAAATATACTCGATATGATGGGTATTTTTCATGTTTTTTTCCACTCGTGCCCATCCATCGGTACGTGACTTTCGATCTGATGTAACTATTCCTTGATTAGATCTGTCTAATTTGTGAATTAGCAATGACTTCGTAGCATTTTTTTAATTTACCGTTTTGCATTGAAGATTTTTCGGTTCATTTTCGCATCCTATGATAGTTGAAACAATCAAATTTATTTTAACAAATCCTTTTTTACACTGGGAATCCTTTTAATACCATTTACAAGTATTGCAAGTTTTGTTTTTAGTCAAGATAGGAGCTGATAGTATTTATATTTTTCAGTACACCGAAGTAGTTGCTTACAGTTCAAGAAAACAGTAAATATTTTCACAAAAATAAAAGAACAAAACCTCATCGCTTCGATTGGATAAACAAGTCGAGATGGGAAGTTTCGCGTGCAATATATGTATCCGAGATCCGCTCCGTGCACTGCAGGGGCCGATGGCATCGGCCCGTGCGCGCCTATATACCTAGCATCATATTGTAAACTTGATAGTTTGAGAGGGTCTTTTTATATAAATCGCAACGTTGATATTTGCGGAGACTCGGACACGAGCGACGGCCGTAAGGCTTCGCCACGCGAGCCTGCGACACATCACGCGACATTCGCATGCGCGTATTTAATGCAAAACCTGCGTACTCGTATGTGCTTTTTCTTGAAAAAGAATAAAAAATCCAGTTGCGAAACGAGACAACTTGATTAGCTGAGAACTTATCGTACATATTTAATTGAAAAGCTCGACGGCGTATATCTATCTAGCATTTTTATTCACGATCATCAGCGTAAGTCAGGGTCGTAAAAATTTGATTCTCTTTTCTTTTTCACGATCGGATAATCGATTCGCATTCGTTGATAGAATCGTTAAGTTGCCGCATGAGATCCGACGAGAAGCGAGAACACGAGAGAAAGAAATTGACCGTCCAGGTCGCGCGAGAGACAAAGGAAGCAGTGTCGCGTGCACTTGAAAAATCGCTGCGAACTAAAGACGCAGCGTCAGTATATACCTAGTTTATACGGCGCACCAGGTGCAGCTGTGCAATTCGCGTACTTATACTTGCATTACATATATACGCGGCAGCGGCGCAGGACGTACAGGGCTCGAGAGCACTAGTGGCGTGCGCATGTCCAGGCTAGTATAGGGCTAAAAGAGACGATTCACGATGGATTACCTCGGCCGCGCACCTTGTATCGTAGCTCCAGCTCGATAAGTAAATCTTTTAGCCTTGTCCTGCACGCGCGCCGCGAGGAGATTGAGTTGCATTTTCCAGCCCATATAAAAGCGCCGCACAGCTCGTGCATGCGCATATAGAGAACGTTTTTGAGCGAGTGTCAAAAGACGCCTTTTTCTTTCGCCTTTCCCCTAGTATGACACCCACACACATGCGGGCTGAATTATCCTATGATAGGATAAAATCTTTTTCTAAAATATTTCACAATATTCCTTGAAATAAATTAAGGAGTAGAAGTCAATTATTTATTTCAAGTATTGAAAACTATTCTAATATTTTAATGTATTTAATTCATTCTGACGCAACGCGGGTATATGATAAAAATTATATGATCAGAAAATAATATAATGTGTTATACCACCAGAAAACTTGATCGAAAACCCTTTCACAAGATACATGTATTTAAAGATCCTAAACAGTACATGCATTCAATACCGCGAGCGTGGCTCATAAGTGCAACTCCCATACATAAATGCAATTCACATACACGTAGTGAGAGAAAGCATTATAAGCGGATGAAATTAACCGAACTACTCTGTCCGTTGCAGACTTACCAAGATTCGGCAAGCCTTTGAACAACCTGACGGTTTCCGTGGGCCGTGAAGCCGTCTTTGCTTGCATCGTCGAGAATCTAGGCCCTTATAAGGTAAGTTACAATTCGACTTTGTGTGCACTTTCATTTTGACGTCTATATCGTGTATGTGTTTGTGTGTATGTAGATCAAATGTTGTTTTGCATCTGTTATACAACTATGCATTTTGGTGGTATTTTTATTTTTTTTTCATGTAAAACTTCTTATAGGACGAGGAAAAGCTAACTAAAAAAAGCTTGAGAGCGAGGTCACATATGCAAAATTTCCAAATAAGGGATACCCTAACATTTATGCACACAAACACAAATCTTTATAAATTCATGTTCACATTAATACATATTAATATGTATTCAAAGTATATTACGTTATTCTATAAATTAAAAAAAATTGTATGTGGTTTTTTTGTTGAGCTTTTGAAGTTTTACTTATTAAAGCTGTTCTCAAATGAGTTAATTATTGATTCTAAAAATAAAAGGCACGGTAAAATTTATATTTCATGCAAATAACATTTTTACACGTGCACGTCCTTACAAAATAATAAGTAATGCAAAAATATTATGCTTATTTTCATTGTGTATTTAAATGCACGCCTGTACAAATTTCATATAAATAAATGTAACTTTGTCTATACATTTTTCTATGAAAACATAACGATTAATGTTTTAGAATTAATTTATTATTGTAGCAAGATTTATCATGATCAAAGGGGTCATAATCGACCAAGAGATTTTCGATTTCGACAGATGGAGTATTGCCATTTTGCAAGTGCCAAAAAAGTATCTGATTAGTTTATATGTACGAGGTGTATCCGAAGGCTTTTAATATATATTCCTTTTTGATTTTACGAGAAATGAAAACTACTGCTAATTCTTGTGTTAGTATTCGAGAGTTCTTTCTTACTCTTTCGTACATAACAACTGTAAGAGCGGCACTGGCACCGGCAAGTATTAGATAGAAAGTATCGCAAGTGGTCTATGTATATTTTATGTATATACATACAGAGGGTGAGAGAGAAGAAAGCTCGCAAGTACCGCGTGAAAATCGCGTTGCGTATCTTGGGAAAAAGTCCATTAAGTATGAGAGAACGAAATCCCGGGGGGCGTGAGTTCAGCAGTTTGTTAAGCGATTTTCTCGGCCGTCTCTCGCACCCAAGAAGATCACTGATTTTTCCACGCGGCAGACTATTTGCGTGGGTATGCCGGAGTATAATACGCGCGGGTAGCGCTGGCCACTCGCGAACATCCTCTATTTTACCCAGCTTTTTTTCTCTCAACGTAGTCCTAGGCACACGCTTCTTTTTAGCTCTATATTTTTCCTTTTTTTTCGTGCCTGTCTTATTAGCGGCTGCATCTCTCGGAAAATACAGCTGATGGACGTTTACACGTAAAACTTCAGCTCCTTGAGAGACGAGGAGAAAAGATCTGTTTCTAGCTCGTGAAGGGTTTTATTCGTATCTCCCTAACAAACAATGATTTGTTGATTTTGCACCTTTTTTTCACTGAGCTATTTGAATGCATTTAACAACGTTTGTTTGATTATCGTTAAATCATCACATATAATAACGAAAAATAATCGAATTTTCATTTTAATATATACGTAATATCGGAGCTGCGAATACACAAATTCCAACCCGGATATACTTGTAGTCTTGTCCGATAAAAGCGGATTTTCCTGTCCACGATCGCAAATGGTATATTACATTATCCTCGTCTGGCATCGGTATACTTTGCCGTACACGAGTATGTCCGTGTATGTGTATGAATCGAAAGGCGGAAATGAATGTTTCCTCCCTTTATGTACGTATCAGCAGCTATCTGCAATACGTCAGCTTCTCTGCAGCATAAGTATAAACTTTAAATTAAATTTTCCCCATCTCTCTTACCCTTTTCCGTATGTGTATAATATTTTTCTTTTGCGCGCGAGTATCAAATATTATTAGGACATTCGATACGCGCAAAAGTATACATCGAAATAGACGAAAAAGAGGTATAATAACTCAAGCTGACACGCGGATACTTGAGAAAAGCTCGCGCATTGTCTCCTTCCATCAATTTGTATTAAATTAAACTCTATTAATTTAGTTTAAAATCAATGCTGAAAACTTTTCATCTCGCACACGCAGTTACTTAATCGAGCATCCAGGCGTGAACCATAAAGACAATTCGATATTTGAGGCGTTAATTGAGAACAGAGAATTCGTCTCTGCCTTTTTCTTTCTTCAATCGAATTGAACAGTACCTTTCAATGCAGAGATTAAATTAGCCAGCTGCCAAGCTGAAAAAGCTAGATAAATAAAGTCTCTAAAACGAATTAGAATTGATCTTGTAGCGGCACGCTTTTCTCCCTCTGACAAAAAATCATAATTTACATCGCTCCGGCAGCACAAAGTTTTGCCCCAGCATTGACAAACTAAACCGTCTGAGCTTCATACAATCTCTTCTATTAGCCAAAGGAAAAGTTTTCGCCCTCTTTCATGAGCCATAATAATCGAAGAGAGCAGAATATAAGCTCTCGAACAATATGTTCGTCTGGAAAATTTTCTTTGTCTCGAATGTGTCTAATAAGGAAATGATTCATAAGATAATTTTACGTTCAATTTCTCGATTTCCATTGTTAAAAAGAATTAATATTGAATTCAGCTGATGGACTTCAATATTTATTATCCTTTGGGGGAATACAATTTTTTGATTTAAAGCGACAGATACAAAGAAGTAATATTATATACGACGACGGGAAAACAAGTGGGTGTATGCTCCATCGCTGGTTTCTGGTTCTTAATACGGCAGTTGGGAGCTAGTTAAATGCCACTCCATATCTTGCTAGTTACGGGGTTGCTATTCTCTATAGCATATGCTCGACGTCGTAATATATGAAAGCGATAAAGGTCGAGTGTACAGTCTCCGCGATTACCGGGCCATCAACGATTCAAGGATTAGAGAAAGAGAAACTCGGAGATGAATAGAGAGAGAGGGGAGCGAGAGAGGATTATATTAATTATTTGCCACTGGTGTATACTCGAACGCGTGGGCTGCAAAGGTTTTCGAGTGAAACAGACAGCCAAACACAGGTATGCAGTTGTGGAATTCTGTCTTCGAAGAGGAGCTCCTTAATAAGTGTGAAGGAGTTTGACTTGCCTGCAGATAACGTTGAATAGTGGACATGCTTTGGCGGTAATTTCAGGATCGTTTGGGGAAATTTTTTAATGCAAACATTTTTTAATGATACGTTTTTATCAATGCAAGGGAAACAACAATATCAGTGGTCCATCAGTAGTTGACCCTTGCAAAATTAGCGAAAAGAGAGGAGTTCTACGAGTTTTCAAAATGTGTGCTTTTATATATATGCGATCATTTTTATTTTGCCACTTGCAGATTTACTGTTGAAGGCATTCGCCATCTAGCGGCGGATGCTGAATATCAACCAAAAATTTTCAATTTAACAATAAAATTAAATTTTTCTTGTTTAGTTTTAAATTGAAAATAATGAATATAATTGCATTTTCATTTTCTTAGTGCAGTTGATAAAAAAAGTAATTCAGTACATAAATTGATAATGAAGATTTCCTGTAAGAATACCTTGAATTAAATTCGGCATCGATTACTTTAATTTTAACGTCTGATTTAACATTAATTTCAAGGTTTCTTTTAACAGTACAGCCAGGAGCTTGGTGTCGACCTTTGTTAAACACTTCTTGACTGGCACGTCCGAAAATTTATAGCTTTTTGCACGCTACGGTGCACCCCGATCAAAAATTCGCTCAGCTTGTATGTACATGGGAACGCAGCATAGAAACGGCACCAGTAGCGGGCTCCCCTGGCCGCTTTTTCTTCTGTCCAAAGTGGCAGCTCTGCTTTACCTGCTCTCACACGCGCGCACATAGACACACACGGTGTCCGGTTAATAACGACGCGCTGCTTCGGTAAATAAAGCCACTTTGCAAAATTGACGGGCCGCCACCGTCGCTACTGCTGCTGCTTTTTATCGCGAAAATGAAATTTATGAATGGCGTCTCGCTATTTTCGTTGCACGCAGATGCGTGGCTCACTATTACGATGGTTTTCTAGCGTGTAAAATAAAATAAAAAAGCAAAAAAGTATACTGGCATTAGTTTTTGTGTATGTGTTTTCTCGCGTACATTATGTGTAGCACAAGTCGACACGGATGAAAAAACGATCGATGCGCTCACGTGTGTCAATCATTGAAGCGAATCTAGTCTCGGTGTGCACGCGCGAAAATGCACCAGCTCCCATGTGTTGCGCGCGCGGAAAGCACAACTTGGTGACTATACACCAGCCACTCCGTATACACAGAGTATATAGTAGTACATAAGCGGGAGAGCGGCCGGGAGGTGAGTTTATATACACACGGGGTGCAGCGAGTGCGGCGCCGGTCAAAATACGCCGCCTTTGAAGAAAAGGCGAAATAAGTAAAGTGCCTTCTTCTTCCAAGTCTTCTGCTTTTACTTCTTTTTCTTCGTCTTCTTCTTCTTCTACTTCTCTCTGCTTGTATAGTATACATACACCTCGGCACGCGCGCCTAATGTGCACAAGCCCGACGAGCTAGCGAATAAAGCACTAGGCTCTTTTACTGCTTTTCGGTAAGTACCTTGGCAGCGTGCGCGTAATACCCTGTACTTTGCCCCCGCTCGATCGCTCGCTCGCTCGCTCTGCCTCTACCTCTGCCTCTGTTACGCCGAGCTATATGCCCCCTCGTATATGTACGTGCTTTTAAGTTTGTGTAATCGTCGTAAGTGAATTCGTGCGATGAAACGATTGCAAACATGAGGTGTAAAATAAGAAAATAATGCTCACCTATATGCGCGAGCCCTCCAGTGCGGGAGTACGCCTCGTGTGCCTCTGACCATACCGCGACCCCATACAAAGTGTGTTATTTTAATAATATCGTCCAGGATAGTTTCGGCTTAATTGATATGTCATAATTGCGAATAGTGCAAACAAATTATCATCCCCAAAAGCAAACCCATATGAATCGCAGCTTTGAGCGATGAAACGCTCAGTAGCAAATCCCTTAATATCCGCCGTTCGTTCCTTGAGACCCGCCACCGAGCGTCTTGATAAATATCCAAACAGCAGCAGTAGCAGCCGAACGATATCATGGCAAGTTAGGAATATATATGCGAATAGATAGATACTATACCTATATTCGGGGAGGACACGTGCATGTGTGCGCTGCAGGTATAGCAGGGCCAGCTCGGCAGTAGACAAGCTATATATACAGTATATAGCCAAGGCAAGCAGGCAGGCAGGCATGCAGGCAGCAGCAGCATAAACACGGAGTTATTAGCATGGAGCCATCAATCACGCATCCCTTACTTGCGCACACACAGTCTTATGCCGTCGACGAATGCAAGTCAAATTAATCAGGCGCGCTGCGAGCATCGCTAAGCCAAAGCTATACATACAGTCGAGGATCTTGTCAAGTGCCTTACATCCTATCCTCCTTCTCGTTGTCTGCGCGCGTCGCTCGAAATTCTTAACTAAAATAGCAAATTTACCGAGCTAGGCGAGCGTGGCGGAAATTCTTTCTTTCTTTTTTTAAAGAGGAAATTCACTGTTTTTCTCCTAGCATTTTATCTCGGATGATTAGGCAATCTAGAATATATACCGAGTAATTCTTATTTTACCGCGCGAGATCGCGGGGAATACCTAGTAGGGTATCAAAAATCGTAGCTGCGGCGAAGTTAGCGAGCGAAGAAAAAGACCAAAGAGCTGCTGCTGCTGCTGCTGCTGCTTGCCTGAGCGCTCGGAGCTTGCGGTGGCACAGATAGAACTCGAGCATAAATGAGAGAAAGAGAGACTCTACAATAATTAAGCAGATGATACCTCCGAGACTAATTAAGATCTTCTACTTCTTCTTACTTGCTCGAGCTGCTGCTGCTTCTGCTGCGCGCCCTGCGCATACACACACGCGCGCGCACACCTTCTATGTCTATATGCTTTGAGACGATGATATGGGTTCGGTTTCCTTGCGCGAGCGCGAGAATATTATAAGTAAATTTTCCTATCCTGCAATAACGAGTGATTATCTCTGTTTATGGCTGGGACGTATAGCGCACTGCTCATTTTCGTTTATATGCACATTGTATGTAAACGTCAATCGTCGAGCTACATCTGCGAATGAATGTGGAAATAATTTTAGCATAAAGTTTATTAAAGTTCCGACGGCTAATCAAGTTATTAGATTTCCACGAAAAACAGTAAATTGCACGAAAAGTGTTCACCACGAATAGATGTTGTTATTGTCTCGACTAGACTATACGCGATCAATTAATAAGCGATAAACGCGTAGAAATGATTTTTTTCCCCCGGATAATTCATTACGAGTGACGATAACATGAATCTCGATCGTTGCGCGAAAGAGAAGCCATTAATAGCGCGAAGCCTCTGGATCGTGGGGCCTTAGAGTAGCCTGGGAAACAATTAATAACTATGACTTTGTATTGTGTGTGGATCGTTAGCTCGAGTAGTACGAGCGGTTAGTCTGCGCGACTACAGCTCGTGTGTAGCGCAAAATAAAAACGATAAATAATGTGTGACTAGCTGGAATGGCGAAGAAAAAAAAGGGCACAATACTAGTGAATCATCGCCAGGCGCGCGTACGTGTGTGCAAGTGTACTTTTGCTCGAGGATTTTTCAGCATCTCGAGTGGTATCGCCACCGAAGTCGCCCTCGCGTCGATTCCTTGCGAGATTTATCGTTCCGCGCGTATATGGCACATATACGCGGGCAAAGCCGCCAGGCAGATGCTACCGCACCTCAGCAAAGGAATGCCACGCGCGCGCGAGGATTATACACATGCGCACATTTATATATGTAGAAGCCGCTCGAAACTCCGACTTGCTGCTCCAAGAGGAGGAGAGAGAGCGAGATGAATGGAGCCATAATTCCTGAGTGCGTTCGTTGATTGCTCCCGTTCCTGAGCTTATGATACTCACTTTAGCCTTCGATTGATTCGTACGGGTGCAGAAATACTTTTTTTCTCTTCATTTTTCACGCAGAAAAATATCATTGTTTATCAGAGTAGAAAAATTAGCTGAAAATATCCATTTGATTAACGGCTCGGCGAGATATGAACGAGTCAGCCCAGTGGACACTCGATTATATACCTGTGCTGGAAATAATATTATTATTCGCTGCCGGGGCGAGTATCATTTGTTTACTCTCTTTCTCTTGGTTATCCTGCTAGCAACACCTGATAAGTCGGCGTAAACTCTCGGCATCGTTAATCTTGTCGTCTCACTTTTGCGAGTGAGAATTTTGCCGACAGCAAGAGACCTAGGCGTACACACAAATACATACATATACTCCCCCGCGCTCACATATACATCGTAGACGTTATTTTCTCACTGATTAGTCTCTCTCTCTCTCTCTCTCTCTCTCTCTCCCTCCCTCACTCTCGGACTTGAGGCAAGTTTGATGATGATTGCAACTCACGCAATGGGCATCGCGCTAACATAAATTTAGTCTTTGCAAATGAAGAGCCCCTATAGAGCAGCGCAAAATAAAAAAGAATATTGCACTGTGTTGGTTACAGGGTATAAAAGCCACTTTTTTCGCTCGCCAACCGCGATTAGATGAGAAAGAAAATGAGCTTTACAAGTTGTGCACGCACACGCGCGCGCGCGGCGAGGTGTAATTTTTCACCCGGCGCTGGAATTTCGAGAAAAATCCATTATGTTGATCGAGCGATTCGTGTTCGATCGATTATACGTCTTGTTTTTTGACGCGAAAAATTCATCAATATAAACGGCAACGCGTCAAAAAACAATAGCAGTGCACGAGTATCGGCGATAAAATATATACCGTGTGCAAATGTAGCGCGAAAAAATAAAATCAGACTTTTGGTTGACCAGGCAAAAGCCGCATGAAAAAAAAGGAGAAAAAGACATAAAATATTTTTTCGAATTGTTAACGTTAAACAATTTTCGAGGAGAGCAAGGATGGATACATTAAAAGCTCGGCAAAAGCAGCCACGTATGTATTTCTCCTTTGCTGGGCTACGCTGCAAGACGCGTATATAATATCATTTGCCACTTGTACACGAGAGTGTATACGTTTTTATGTGTACGTAAGCAGAAGGTTCAATGCAATATGCACGCGTGTGGCCGTGTGCACGCGTGTGTGTTTGGATACATACGTATGTGTGGGAGCTTTGAGCGAAACCGCGTAATTGTTGGTCGTCGTGGTTGCTTTAACTGCATGCTCAGCGCGCGCGCGTAGGCCAAAGTACCTGCGCCATCGCGATGCGCTCGATTGAGCGCTGTTATGCGCCTCTGACCGACTTGCACCGCTGCTGCTGCTGCTGTTGCTGTTTATGCATACGCCCAAGACACACGAAATTGTTATGTTGCTGCAGCGCAAGCTTGCATGGCTTCTCTTTTTTTCACGCACACAAAAGAAAGTGACATTCTTTTCTGCCCTGCCTTTGCTTGTACACTCTCGCGCTTGATTAAAGAAAAATGACTCGCGTATCTTTAACGCTCGTTGAAGCTTGGCACGAAGCTTGGCGCGCGTGACAAATATGCAATGGTTTTTCTTCGCGAGCTTCGTTTCTTGGGGCGAGGTCTTTTGTTTCGCGTTTCGTTTCTTGCAGCGCGTGCAAAAAGAGAGGCGCGTAATGATGATTTCGTATTCGCATTTTTAACGCGCACAACTTTGAATTCATATATAAAGTTCGAATATGATACATGTATTTCCCGCTTCACCTTTCAAACGAACAAACGTCTTTGCCACGCGAGAAAAGGGAATCCATTCGGTTTTGAGCTCTCTGCACCGAACAGAAAATTGTATTTCTATTTTACCCTGGCTTCTGGGCGTCGGGTCTCGCCTTTTTAAAAATGATTTTATGCGCTCGTGCTATGTCCCGTGGCGACTGCTTTACGCGAATGGATTTTTGCATTATTAAGAGACGAGGTCTCCGCGCGCCGAGTTTCAAGCCCACTATGATGTGTAAAATGTTTCCTCGCACGGCTGAGCGAGTTGCTTTATTAAAATAATGTAAATAACAAGCTGCTGCTCAGAGAAATATGTTTATATTTTTTATTACGTTCACTAATAAAGAAACGGCCAGGTAATATACAAAGAGAGATGGACTGAATTCGCTGGATAAATGTTTGCTGCAGTTGTGCCACGGAGAACCCGTTGGATAAATATAGGCTCCTGTTGCGTGTTTTAGCTTTGATTTTATTTTCGACTATTTAATAATGATCCACACAAAATTAATTACTCGAAGTTAATTAATTTTACTTTGATAAATGAATAGCAAATAAAAACTATGCGAAACAATTTATTTCGTAATTTAACCGATGAGTCTCGTTTCACTTTTTTTTCGATTATACATCAAATAAAATTCCGAAGAAGGCAATTATAGCCGATGACATAAAATTAAAACTGGTTTCAGGTTGCATGGCTGCGGGTCGATACGCAAACGATCCTGACAATTTCGAACCACGTGATAACGAAAAACCACAGGATCGCCGTGACGCACAGCGGCCACCGCGCCTGGTCGCTTCACATACGAGACACACGCGAGGCCGACCGAGGCTGGTACATGTGCCAAGTCAATACCGACCCCATGTCGAGCATTACAGGATTTCTCGAGGTCGTTGGTAAGCATAAAGTGCATTTTGTTATTTAACACCCGTTTCATCCGACTTAGGTCGAATTAATCGCAGAAGGAAATTTATCGGCTTTCATTCGTGTCTTCCCTTCATGCATAATTAACATTATGAATAATCAAGTGAGCGGAGAAATCAATATATAGCAACCAGAGTCGTGCATGACAAATTTCGCTATTTTATTTCTATAATTTCGGCAAGATAATTCGAATAAAATGGACTTTTACAAGTCCTGGGAAGACACAGCATACATGTTTCGCAGCACATGTAGATACACAAGTGGGCAAAGTTGAAAATTGCAGCAAAGTCTATCAGCGTGCAGAAGTTGGGGCGAAAAGTTTACGGCGGCACAGCTCGTCGAGGAACACAACGCGCGCGAGGCGAAGTATCTTGGGCAACAACAAACTGCTGTCGCGCTATATTAGCATCACGCAGTCGTTAAGGCCATGCGCGTCCCTTTTGGCCGAGTATTTTTTCTCTCTCTCTCTCTCTCTCGCTCGCTCCGACTTTCATCAAAGTGCAACCACCCGCCATGCTGTTGGCTCGAGATAAAGAAGTCCCTCCTAAGCTGTACACACTCGCCTATACACTCGCTCGCGATATGTGTGATGCAAATGTATGTAAAGCTGCACCCTACGGAGGCCCAGGCGACTATTAAACACCTTCCTGGCGCGTAGCGTCTTTTCCCCTCGGCCCCCCCCCCAATCCCCCGACCCCCTCTCTAATAATAACCCAACTTGCTCGTTGCCGCTGTGTACGCGCCCGGCCTATATAATATGTAAGAAGAAAATGCATCGCGCGCGAGAAGCAGCGTCTCTCACTCTCTCGCTCTGTTATCGTATACACTGCGCTGTATACCTCGTATACACAGCGCGCGCACGGACCTCTGCGAGCACAAATTTACACCGCCCCTGGTATACACGGAGTTTTTCAGGCCAAATGTGACGTACGTAACGCAGCTATCGATGTTATAAGCAGCTACTGCTGTTACCACTGCAGCAGCAGCAGCAGCAACACCAGACACGCCAGCTTAACGATTATTATCATATCGAGTGCGCAGTCCTGCACGTACCTACTGTACGTTATACGCTTTCTCGCGTACAGGCGCAAGCGACGACGAGCTTATCGAGAGTAGTATGCGGCATTTTAATGGATTTTCTTTTGTGCTCGGTTGACTTCGATGCGGATGCACACTTGACTGTCTGCCCCTTAAAACAGCATTACTTTCGAGGATCTAAGGTTCCATTGTCTATTGTATCTTCTCTCGGTCATATTTCTGCGAAGCGAGATTAAATTAGTAATCTGAGTTTCGCCAAAAATTGGCTTTATTCAGAAGTTTATTTTGGACCAATCATGATTAACGATATAATACATTGTTTGTGCGCATTATGTTAACATAAATAAGCGTAAATGAATATAAATATTACAGTTCGTAAATCGGCTGTCATGCGATGCTTATTTGACCTTTTGCGCACAACAGAACGGGCCGAATCAAAGTTTCACGAGAGCTCCGAGAGAAAGTAGAATAAGCAGTTGCTTACTGGTACGTTAACTCATATACATACTCGTCGGACAGGCGTGCGCTGCATACCCACACAACTGTACGAACGAGCGGGCGAATTCTGGAAAACAAAATTATTATACCCTGCGATGCTAAATCCGATTACGGGCTCCTGCATTGTATTTGCGCTATGATTTTGATAAGCGCACGCAATCGACGCACCACGGGGGCTTTGTATATTTTGCGCGTACTTGGCCTGAATGTGTATATGCGTGCGGCACGTCGACCAGCCAGCAGCTCCTCCCCCCAAAATAGCCGCGCGCCCGGCATCGTGTAAATATTTTACGTCATTTGATGATTTCGATATGTAATCACATCGTATTTAGCCCATAGGTTCATTACAATTTCCAATCGAATTCCACTACTTGTTATATCTCCTATCTCCACACACACACACACACACACACGTACAAATGGTACGCGCACACGGACAAGGACATATCATATGATAATTGCCTCTCGGCTGTTAATAAATTTTTTTACGTACAAAATGTAATGAGTATTTTTCTCTCGAGCTCCGTATTACAGCGTGAAAGAATAATCTTCGGGGCTTTAACGCGTTGGGAATTTGCGTTTAAAGAGGATGCCTCGACGGTGCCCCGCGCGCGCGCGGGCGGCCCTTATTAAATTTCCCTTTTATCGCGATGGGGCTCGTGCGAGCGAACCTTCTACTCTGTGGTTAGACTGCGCCTTTATACGCAGCCTTCCCAAGGTGTTGGAATAAGGGATTGTTCTTGTGCGTCGCGTGCACACTTTATGACTTTCTTTTTTCAAAAGCCCGCCTTAATCGTGCCGGTTTTAGGGTCTCTATTTCGAGAAATTATCATGTTAAAAAGAAAGCGATCGTCTCGCGCCTGTGTAAACTTTTCAGTTTTCACAAAAAGAAAAATGTCACATTGTCTTTCCGGCAGCCTAAAGTAGCCACAAGAGGCTTCACTTATATACTCATGATAAGGAAAAATGTATGTTATCAGTTTACTTTTGCCGTCTGACTCCGTATTATATAAATTGCACTGGATGTCAATTTCTCCGAGGAATTTGAGATTTTTTCGGTACATCATAATATAAGGTTCCACTATCGATGTACGAGACGAAAATTCGACCCACACATGACTTTATCTTGCGAGACAAGTTTTTGAAATATAATTGCCACATCAGGCAGCGTGCTCAAGTCGAAATGACAATGCAAAAGATATTTTCAGGCTAGTTGTGTTTATTTTAAGAAATAAATAACCAAGATGACAAAAAAAGTAAAATATTATAACTGAAAAAATTGTATTTGAATCTCTAGTCGAAAATGTATTTTTATATGATTCATGCATAAAACTGAGCATATGTTTTTCGTAAAATTTTCACACCAAAAGAAAAAATTAGACAAAGTCAAAAGTAAAAATGTTTCCAATTTCACCCATCGTCTTAAGGCGAATAACCGTTACGAAGGCATGAACACTAAACAGTAATCGTGTGTTTTACAATTCGTCGCAGCTGCAGAAGGGAGCAAGTTAATTCTCGATTCGTGATCGCTCGCTCGTTTTTTACGAACGAACCCCCTTCCCAATGTCCCATAAGAAGTTTCACATCAAAAATCTCCGAGTAAGATTTACCACACTTGCGAGTCTTGATATTAATGATAGCCAAATGCAGAGGGAGAGAGAGAGGGAGAGAGAGACAAGGTAGAGGAATGAGCGTACGGGAGTTTCGGAAAATAAAGCTTTCGCGCGCGCGGCGGCAGTTGCGAAAAAAATTTCGTTCCGTGTGGTTTGTCTGGCGCAGGGGAGATACTACTCGGTGGCTATATCATAAAGAGGCATTTATCGTGCGGTACGTTGAAATTGAATTTTCGAAACTGTCGCGCGCGAGAACGGCGGAGAACGACTACTGCCGTCGTCTAGTCCTCCCGCAAATCTCATTACCGATTCGGAATAACGAGTTCTTTGCCGCCTTGCCGTATAGCTGTACCGCGCCCGCAGCCAAACTCGTGATTTGTTTTTTGCTCCTTCTGTTTCGTCGAGGACAATTTCTTTTTGCCGCGGAAAGTATATAGTAATTAGCAAAAATTGGACGTAAAATATTTCAAGCAACCACTCGAAAAGGAAAAACGCCAGCAGAGTTATTTATTCCTAATTTAGACTTAACTTTGTTAACGAATTCTTGGCAAATTTTTGAAACGAATGTATTGGAAAATTCAAAACTTTACAAACAGAAGTATGTTAAATATGAAATTTCATTTCCACTGTGCTATACATATGATATGAATTGACTCACGGATATTTTTGACATTTCGATTGATTTGCTGGATATCTTTGATACGTGGTTTAAAGATTTATAGCGTATCACTAGTAATGGTATCATCATTCTACGTAATAAAGTGAAAATAATCTAATCTAGAAATGACTGCGCAAAGATACCGTGACTCGCCTGTATAACTGAATATTAAAAATTTAATTTTCGACCAAGTTCGTAATACAGCTCGTCGCTTGGTTCTTGCGAGCTGTAGGAAAAGAAAAATTCGAATGAGTTAACTTCTTCTTGCAACTTTCCCTCTTAGAAAAAACGCTTCGCTTTCGGATCATGTAATTAAAACTCGATATAAAAGTTCAAATACAAAGTTATTTTTCTTTTTACTACTAATGATTTTCCCTCAGTTATATATAAAATGGGAATTGCATTCTTCGAGAGTTGGAATTTTTTCATTGCTTTGTTACCCACCTCCGCAGAGCTTGCGTTTAACTTGAGACGTTGTGTCTCGTTAATGCAATATATATACCTCGAGTGTTTTTGTTGAAAATGATCGCTGGGTCATAAAGACAGGAACCTGGTATTGGCCGTTTGGCGCATTTCCTTTCGAAAATTTCAGCCGTTCTGCAAACAAAGTAAAAAAGTAGTAAAGCTCGATATGCAGTCAGACCGTGAGTCGCAGGTATTATACGCACTGATTTGCCGAGTTGATACACGCATGGTCGTTTTCCAGTGCCGCCGGACATCCTGGACTATCCTACGAGTACGGACATGATCGTGAGCGAGAACAGTAACGTAACGCTACGGTGCGCTGCAACCGGCACACCTGAACCGACGGTAACTTGGCGCCGAGAGGCTGGCGGGACTATCACAACTTCGAATGGCCAGGAAGGTACGTATCCATTTTTTTATTTTATCATTATTATTATTATTATTATTATTATTATTATTATTATTATTATTATTTTCGTTATTATTATATATTCAGAAGCACACACTCCAAATATGATACGCGAGATGTATATAGCGAATAAATTAACGTTGCGAGAGTGATCATTCATCATTCAACCGAAGCCCCGCATGCACAACGCACATAAACATTACTTTCGGCGCGTATTGTGTATCACCTATACGCAACAACGGAGCATTTACATTGTAGCAGTCGGGATTAATATGCCATTTACGCGCATATTATACTCGGAGAGAGAGAGAGAGAGGTCACCGCGTATTATTGACAAGCAATTTAAAAATGTATGGGATTTACTCTTGTGTTTGCCGTTGATGTTGTTATTGCAGTGCGCTGCTCTCTAGTTCTCGACATAATATGCGCGCGGCCCCGCGCCGACATTGAGTGCGCGTATAGTTTCCGATTAGCTTGAGCTCGAATATACGATATAGCCCGCAAGCTCACGGAAGCCTCGGCGAATAGTGCTCGTACGCGCTCGATTATATAAAGTGGTAGATAAACGGGACCCCACGGAAGTACACATATACACACATACACACCCACGCTATATAGACCCGTAGACGGGCGCGCACACGACGTCGTGTATAGGCTAGTAGCGCCAGTCAACAAATAGTACGACATTCCATGTGTGCCTAGCTCACATACTGCCATGGTATATAGCAGACGTGCGAAGCGATATAGAGGAGCTTTTAGTTAATATAATGATTTGTGTGTTGTTGCTGCTGCTGCTACTGCTATTGCTGCGGTTGTTGTTGTTGTCCTGTCGTACGTGAACGTCCACGCAGTGCCGAGCATCGAAGGTCCAGAGCTGGAAATAACACGTGTCAATCGACTGCACATGGGAGCCTATCTGTGCATCGCGTCGAACGGCATACCGCCATCAGTCAGCAAGCGAATCGTCCTCATTGTTCATTGTACGTATATACATCATATAAACAGACTAACAAAAGAAGCTTCATGAAAAAAATACATGTCAAATTCATCCGAATATTTTGATGGAACACTTGATTAACTTTTCCAAGATGAATTAATTAACATAACGAACGGAGAATCTACTGTATTTGCTTCATTTCAATAAATTATCACTATCGCTATTTGAATGCCAATAAAGTGCCATATTGATATCAATGAAATAATAATAATATAGAAAAGTTCAAGTAATAATTATAATAAGAACTGCAAATGAGTTTTCATTTCGATTGAGTAGTTGCTTTCGACATAACATCAATGAAATAATCAAAAGAATTTTAAATTACAAACGCTACCTCATGGTGAAAAAAAAAATTTTTAAAAATTTCGAAATGTTAGAAAGATTGGATTTAAAATTAGTCATTATTCGAAAACATATTTTTTTGGTTAATTAATCAAAAGTAAAAACATAAACTTCTTTAAATAAATACCAAAATTCATCTCTTCATAAAATGACATTTTTTTCAGACATAAAGTGCAAATACCTAAAAAGAAAATGAAAATGATTTTTGATTTCAATTTTTATGTTTATTTTAAAAATTTTATATGATAAAAATACAAATGGAGTTTAGCTTGATTCATTTTATTAATATCTTGGTTGACACCATTTGACTAATAAGTGAACTCGTTTATTAGTTAAAAATCATACGATAAACGTATTTTCGGAAATAACTGATGTATCACAATGCAAATATTTAATTAAGTTTTCAAACCGTTCATAAACGCATAACAGTTTCGCGAAAAATGATTTTATACGATATAATTATTTTATATTAATTGCCCGTGGAGTAGTATAATTGCCTGTCTCGACGATCATTTACAAGAGTTGCTTATTTTTTACGCTGCACGTCAAATTATGCAACAACCCTCTTTTGTTAATATTATTTTTTTTGTATCAAAATCATAAACATATCTCAAGCTTAATTACATTCGGTTGGATTGAACAGACGTTAATGTAACCTGTTCTTTTTTATGGTGAAACTTAAATATCGATGTGTTGGCTTGTTAAATTTCAAGCAGAAAAGTGTCAAACATTTGAAAAAAAGATTCTACTTGCTCGTAACCCACAAGAGATATTTGTCGACTAGCGGAATGGTTTTATTCCGTCGTGCAGTCTCGAGAAGCGTGCGCTATACGGCGAAACAGGCGCTCAATATTAAGCTCGCTCTCGGCAGCGGCTAAATTTCGTTGCGCTGCGCGCAGTGAATCTTGGCGTATAATCATACCACTTACGCGCGAGAGTCAAGATACAAAGCCGCGCGCGAATCTCTCCAAAATCTAACGGCAAATTGTTTTTGAATACGCACATTTTGTGCGCCTGGGCTCGGCTCAACGCCATTGTGTACGCGTTCGCTTGTTGCGCGCTCGCAGATACACATTATCATATATTTCTCTTTTGTAAACCTCCACGGGGATTTCCCTTTTGTGACTCGATTATATCATTGTGGAGGAACTATTGTTGCTTGTATATGCGTATTTCATGAATGAAAACGAGAACAAAATATGCTTGCCGTATGATAATGTATGCCGTTTTCTTTGTCGCAGTTCCACCAATGATTAGGGTGGAGAATCAATTGTTTGGGGCTTATGAAGGACAAACACTCGTGCTCGAGTGCCACAGCGAAGGCTATCCAAGGCCAATTATGTACTGGACCAAGCCCAATAACGAAACAGTCACGAACGGTAATTTTCGCATACATTTTATATTAGACTCGAGTTCTTGATACACGAAGGTAATTTTTTACAGATGGATTCTACAAAGTCGAGACGTCCGTATCGGGCTATGAAACCCTCATGAAACTGAGCATTAGGTCTGTGCGACCTCAAGATTACGGGCCTTTCTTTTGTTTGGCTGAAAATTCTCTGGGACGGACGGATGGGAAAATTAAAGTTTATCGTGAGTATATGACACACATTCCGGTAGAGCATGAATTGAAAAATTGCACATTATGTGATAAATGTTCATCGATTAATACGTAATGCGCTGAATAAACAGCTCGGATTGGATTATCTCTGTCTTTTTTCTTCCCTTTTTCGTTAAAGTTAATAATTCACAATTCATATCGATCCCTCTTATCGTTCGAATATACTTCCCTACGTTGACTTTCGCGCGCGAGGATTAGTGTAATTAATGTTAATTGATATTTGCTTTGCGTTAAGTTGCCTTGGCGTGTGTATCTGTTGTTGCGTATTGTTGAATTTACAACGCACGCGCCATATTTCAATGATATCAGCCGCTTTGTTTCAATGAATGTTTCGCAAGATTTATGAATATTCCGTGGCAGTGATTTAACGGTAAAAAAGCTCGCATTCAATAAATCGTTTACAAATACAAATTCAAAAGACGTATTTCGAGTTACATCATATTAAGTGTAAACAGGCAGTCTCTGCGCATTTATGTTTGACGTCTAAAAAGTTTGGATTTGCAAACGGGTTCGACTCGATGGATACTTGAAGTCTTGAATCCGTCGAATTTTATTAGAATTAATTTTTTCGAAAGTGCCGGGATATATCTTTTGAAATTCGTAATGCATCCTCTTGAAATACACGTCCATAGAGAAGGCACATTCATTTATCTCCTATTTTATGGAAGGAGATGTCTGAAGCTCTGATTCTGCTACCTGTATAGATTTGTACGTCAAGAATATGACTGCAAGAAAACGATGCTCCTAAAAAAAGCTCAGTCGACCTTACACATTTTTCGAAAATTGAAGAAAGCTCGATAACATCGTACTAACTATTATTAAATTCAATCAAAGCAATATCCAATTAATTAAATATTAAAAAATGATTGAAGTCAGTAAGTTCGTGGACCTGTTCTTCTTTCATCGAGCAATGCTCCATACATCCGAATTGGAGTATTCTCTGAAAAGCTTCGGAGCTTGAAAAAAAGCTCGAGTCAGTAGTCGTACATTGAACTTAAATCAAACGCACAGCGATTTAGTCTACATCGGTACTTGGGCGAAAGCTCGTCCAGGCATATAGAGGCCAGCTCGCGTTCTTTATCCGCGAAAAAGGGTCCAGAGGGCAAAGACTAAGCCGTGGAGCTACATAACCGTGTGCCAAGCTCGTTTGCGGGGCCTCTGTAATTGGAGGCAGCCGTCTCCAATTAGTAACTCGCCCCGTCGGAATATCAGCAACTCCTGTGCGCGTTTCCACTGCTCATCGAGTTCTATCTCTCTCTCTCTTTCCCGCTTTTTCTATCCGTGTACGCGCATACGCACCTTTTCATTCCAATTATATCAACGCGAGCGTTACGCTGACTATATTATTCCTCCTACGCGAGAGTCAATCGTTTTTGCCATTGGAATCAAGAATATCGTCAAAATTCAATACAACATCAAAAGGCGCGAGCTGGTGCCTTACCGTCAACGAAAGAAAAGAAAATTAAAAAATTTTTTACATATTTTCCTATATATATGTGTTCAAAGGTTCAGTTGTGTGCGCATGCTAGATTGTTTGTTTAATATACATTTTCCAATTGTATTTCCGTTGGAGTTTCATTCACAGACTCTAAGGCTATGTTAAATTTAGTTTCAAACATTCATTAAAAAAAATATTTTGTTATTTTAACAAAAATTATTTTTGTACTGTGATATAATATATAGATGATTTCATTATTTTCTTTTTCGAATGATTGATTGGTGTTAAATGCATTTGAAACAAAAATGCATTTTATTGGAAATCACCAAAAATATAATATAAATCTTAAGCCTGCATGTTCTTGACATATAATTTATAAAATACTGTTTCATTTAAAAAGTTTATATCTATCCAATAAGAATTTTTATTTAAATGCTAAAATCAGAATGGTAAACTCATTTTTGAAAAGTAACATCAACGACTTTCCAAATGTTGTAATAGCCTCTTCGATTCCACATTTCATTAGCTAGTACAACGATTGTACAAAATGTCTAAATATAGCAGATAAATGCAGATCAGCATTTTCACGAGAATAATTGAATTAAATATAGGGTACTTGGACCAGTGATTGACTGCTCTCGCCCTGTAAATGACCACTTTTGGATGGGCAATAATTATTCTTTTTTTTTTGTTAGATGATAATTGGACATAGAAAGCAAGATACTTCGTTCGCTGAAGAATTGAATAACGACCATACAAATATATTTTTAATCTTTTTAATATCATATTTTCCAAAATGTTCATTCACTGGTACCCGGTCATTGATTGGTCTGACTACCCTACGAACACATACACATTTCAAATGTGAAAGTATCTTGGGTACGTGGCTTTTCGGGAGTCGTTGAGCAATTACTTTCACAGAAAAACCCTCTCGATGCTTGATGAAACGTTGTCGAGCGATTCAATAAAAAGTCAATTATCATACAATCTTGCAGCAGCGCCGTACACAACTACAACTGTAGTACACACAGTGAACGTTTGTTGTGTCTGCTGGACGCGTTTGATATCGGGCATAACAGTCACCTGCGCGTGATCCTGTCAGTGGCAAAACTTGAAGTTATACGAACTCTTCGCGTGCGGCTGCCACTGTATATACACTTGCTAGGGTTTCGATTTTGCCATTTGTGCGTTCTGTTATTACTTTTTCTTCTTTTTTTTCCAGTTCAGCTACATGTGTAGCAGAAGCAGAGATCTCCGCGTCGCGTACGCGATATATACGTGTATGGAAAAAACGTGCACGTGATTAGTTTTCGAATTGCATGAGCTCGTATTTATATAAAAATGAACATGATACAGTCCCACAAAATTATCCTCTTCCGAGCGTATGAAACTAAAAGAAATTGCATTAGTAAACAATAGCAATAAATCGCCGATACACATATTGCTTTGTTTATCTCAATCGCATTAAATTCACGTGTACGTGTACGCACGTGCACACATTGAGAAGCGATAGACAATGCATTATTTTTATTCTCATGCCGCAGAGATACAACAATCGTCGGCGGCGCGCAACAACAAAGCCAGTACAAGGCGGGATTCAAAAAAGAACTGGTCCGAGCGCTCCAGCAATCAATACGAGAAGGTGCCCGACGGCTCGCTGTCTTACAGCGAGCTCAACGACGACGGTGAGGAGGAGGATGGCTACTCGTCGTCGTCGAACATCAGCGATTCCTGTTTGCTGGTCATCAGTGCGATCTGCCTCGCGATGATGAATTTAATACGACGATTGGCCTGTCCAACGTAGGAAAATGGCCCGCAAGTACATGTACATATTGATAGCGGCTGTGTATATAGCAAGCATAACATACGAAACCATCAAGCGGCAAACCTCCGACTTCCAATCAAACTTTGTGAAGAGATTTGCGGTTGAAATTCTATTTGTGCGCGAGAAGGGTACATTGGGCATATATAGTGTGAGGGTGTGTGCGTGTGTGTACAATGTACATGCGGTGGTAATGTTGAAGCATTCGTAGTTTCTCGGAATTTTTAATTTTTTTTTTAACTTTCCTATTCGCATGACCGATCGCGACTCCACACTCACACGTATAATATATACACACTGCCTAACATATTTTTTGGTCTGTTGCATAGCTGATGAATATTCAGCAATAGGTAGAGTATACGACGTTAAGCGAGACTTTTATTGAACGTACATCGTGTACATGTAAGCGAAGGAGTAAAAGATAGACTCTTCGTCCCTCTCTTTTAGCTATTCGGGTGACGTTAATTTATTTAACGATTGAAACGAACGAGAGTCAGAGACAAGCTCGCAACGCAGGAATGGACGGAATTCTGAATGGCGCGTGGGTGTATATCCTACAAAGACTGAAACTAAAACAAACAAAAAAACAAGTATACTGCAAAAGATTAACATGTTTCTTTTACCTTGTGTACTCCTGGTTCTTTGTATAAAGTATTAATTATATGAGAAACAAAGTAGTAAAAGTGAATCGCTTGGATGTGTGGAGTGCGACTATGCATATATGGTTGATTCTCCCGAAATCTGCTTTTTCGGGTATGGAAAACGAAAAAATGGTGAAAATTTTTTTGTCATATTGAACGGCGCGAACTAGTTTACCCTTTTTTAAACCATAAAACATGAATAATTATTGAATCTGGGGCTTTGAGATTTCGTTTTACGAAAACTATGTCCGATTTTATGCTTAAAATCGACTATTTTGGGTTACGGAGGTGACACACACGGAGGTGACAAATCGCTGCTTTCATCAACTATGTAAGAAAAATAAGAAACGCACAAAATTTTCCGCACAACCCGAAATTTGGTCATGAAAAACGAGTCTTTTGACGGGGCGAGCGGTTAAAAAGAATGATCATAGCTCGAGATATTCATGTCCACGGAGGTGACCGTTTTTTTGACACACGTGAATTTTTCAATAGAATAATTATCGCAGCATCGATAAAATGTAAAATTTGAACCCGCAACCTACACCAATCGAAAGCTGGGCTATAATACTTGACATTTACGTATCTAGCGACATCAAAAATGAGTTAGCGACCCAAAGCAGGCGGTATGTTTGAAATTATTCAGAAACATGATTAAAATCCGAGACATTTTTCAATTGCGTGGGAAATTTTTTTAAAACATTTTTCAAAGCCCTATAATAGACTTAAACTTTACTCTGGATGTATAGAAGCTGGTCTCATAGTTATTATAGGGTCAGGTGCTAATGAGAATGCATGATACATGCAAATAGAGTTGATTTTGAGATGTAGACATGCCACGGAGGTGACATTTGGCATGTATATCTTCACGGCAAATTTAACTGACCCTAAAAAATTGAAATATTTATGTCCTATCATGAAGAATACAACAATATTGAATGAATGACCGAACCAGTTTTGGCTCATCTTCACTAGTTTAAGAATATGGCATAAAGACATGCAAAAAGCAGATTTCAGGAGAATCAACCATATATTCATTGAGATTACTTTGACAATCTTAAACTCATGCAGGCTTGATCTTTTTTCGTCGCTGTATTTTTTGTTTTTTTTTTTCAGTTTATCCAGTGTCAACTAGTTGAGAAAATGTAAACGAATTTTTGTGAGCGCGTGATTCTCATCGTAAATATTCTGTTGTACTTTTATTACTCATTTTCATGTAAAGCTCGAAACATCATCTATTATTGAACATTCCTTTTCTCGAGTGGTTTATGTATGCCATTAAAATTAATGAAATGTAAGTTCAATAAAAATTTGAATATTTCTTAAAATCATCTAGTATACGGTAGTAAGAAAAAATGTGTACAGAGACAACTTCAGTTTTGGAACCCAGATTGACTTGAAACAATTTTTTTTAATGTCTGTATTAAAAAAAGATTCATTCTTTTTTGTTTGATCCCGTGAGCGTTGAAGTCCATTTTAAAATAATTTTATATTTTACTAAAAAAATCTGCATTTTTCCCTAATTTTTTTAGATTAAAAGTAGCCACGATTTTTTAATTCAAAAGATGATTTTTTTCAGTAAAGAACCTACAAAGAAATTGAAAGCCTATTTGGGTTCTGCAGCTAAAGAGGTCTCCTTATAATAAAATACTAAACCTTCATTTAAAATTTCTAATTATTGAAAGCAGGCCTTTCAGAAAAACTGTATGTGATCAATTTATTTCAATGTGATTCTGTATTTCAAAGATTCTGTATAAAAAATATAAATTCCTTCAAATTAATTTCCAATTCATTAAATTTTTTTGTTCTAGATGCTTAATTTTCCTTTTTTACATGAAATTTAAAATAATACAGCAAAATTGTTTAGTTTAAAAATATACATTGTTGCAATATGCTTGTAAAAACTTTATTTCTCATCTTACAATTCGAAATACATGCTCTCGTTCATTTGATGTATGTGATGGAAAAAAGGTAATAAAAACGACGAAATTCATAACGAATCTCTGCAATAATAAAAATAAATCATCGACGCGATGTAAAATAAATACGTTATGGTGCTTCGCACGTGAATACAATTGTTATGTACAGAGTATAATGTGCTCTACATTTATGCATACACGTAACAAGTCATAAATAAAAATATATAAATCAATTATATATTTGAGATTAATGAAAGATGTGTATAAATATCAATTAAGAGCTGTGTGTATAGTCGTCGAATGACCGATGCATGGTTGTGACGACAAATTGTATATACATTATGTAATGTTGTATATTTAAGAAATAAATGTTAGCTTGTACAAAAATCAATTTGGTATTTGTTTTTTATTCATATTTCACAATGAAAATGAGTATTCGAAGCAGCAAAAATAAAGTTATTTGATATATTTATAATTGCTTTGAATTTTAAAATTGATACAAGATACGTGAAACTTGATATTTTTCATTCATCGAAATAAAATATTCCAGTAAATTAAAATGAATCTTCATTTATTTCTAGTTGAGATTCAGGGTTTTCCTACGTTATCATATTTTATATCGTACAATGGTCATTACGCCTGAGGCAACTCCTCTACAAATCAATATTTTAAAGTCGATTTTTGTTATCAAAAGATTTTTGAGGGTTCGTATTTACCGACCGAAGGTCTGTTTCGTACTCAAACCTACCAACGTAACCATCGATATTTTGTATGTATACGCACCCTTAAAACATAGAATTGTACGTTGCAGTAAGATTAATATAGATGGAGGCACATGTATTTCACAAGCTTTCATCTAAAATTATTATTATTTACAAAGCACTTTATTAAATTTTACGTTTCTTGAAATCAGATCAATACATAAGACAACGAATAAATTCACTTATCGTTTGAAGACATCATTTACTTATGTTTATGAATCTGATTTGAATTGCCGTACGCTCACTTTTCATCGATTTATCGTTCAACTGTCTTAATGATCAAAAAATTCATTAGTATTTGAATCGCAAGATCTGCACAGAATGAATAATATATTGAAATTTATTTAAAGATTACTTCGTTTCAATATCCAATAAAATAATAATTGTGAATTTTTCGAGAAACTTTTCTGTATTCATGGGGTTTACATTTTTTTCATGGTAATTTAAAAATTTATTTTTCAATATAAATGAAAAATTATTTCATTAAAAGATTAATAACTCTGTTAAGAATTATATGAGCAAAATTCTTTAATAAATAAAAAATTTAGAATATTTAAAATGATAACATGAAAATGGAGCTAATAATTTACTCAAATAACTATGACGAAGCAGATCAAAGTTCTTCAAGGTGACTCGGATCTGATGTTACTATATACATGGAAACTTAGCTGCATAGCTTCTTGGATATATAACTGAAGTGAATCTAAATGCTTTACAATGATAGGATCGTACTGAAATCCTAGGCTTGTTACGTAGGATTTTACCTGCCCTTTACAAATTTGTGTCCCGACAAGGGTTACATAATCGTCAATGTAGATAAAAATGCATGAGCTGTGCTATCTCTCTAGCTACATAAAGTAGTAAAATTGACTTCAATTATTATCATGTGAATTGATCGAAAACTGCAGCCATACTTTATCATAACGTACTCTCTCACCACAATAAGTTTCTCTACATATGGAAGGAAGAAAAAATTGAACAATTGAATGAACAAAGTGATGTTCAATTACAATTGTACGAACACCTCCTTCGAAAGATCAAATAGTAGTACCCTCCCTTCTGCCCNCACCACTGCCAAATTTCTCGGGTAACATTATTTAAATTCTCGTACATAACACCGCCCATCTTGTTTATGTAGGCGATTGCAGTGGTGTTATCGATACGTAATAAGATTCGACAGTCTTTTAACTCCGCGGCGAAACATTTGAGGCCGAATAGAGCCGCTTTAAGCTCAAGGAAATTTATACTATTCTTACGCTCTGCTAGAGTCCAAGTTCCGTTTGCTCGTTTGCCTTTGCATGCTGATCCCCAGCCGGTCAGTGAGGCATCAGTAAATATTTCGATTGCAAATTGTGAAAAGCGAATATCTTTACAACCCGTGGATATGTTTTCACTCCACCATTCTAAGTCTGATTCTAACCCGTCAAGACTCATGTATGCTTCATAGTTATCGTGATTCCTTTTTAAAGCATCAAGTTTTTCTTTTTCAAATCTTTTAGTGTATAACCAACTAAACTGTATGGCCGGACAGCACGCTATCAATGTTCCCACAAACTGAGCAAATTCGCGTATTTTGCAGCTCTTTTTCATTTTAAATTCAGTAATTAATCTTATGACTGATGCTCTTTTTTCGTCTGGTAATTGTAATCTCATGTTCTTTGAGTCGAAAACAAAGCCTAAAAAGGTACATCGTTGACTTGGAATTATTTGACATTTCTTGTTATTTAGAATAAATCCAAGTTTCTTAAAAATCTTACATGTTACCGCGAATCTGTGAGCGCATTCGTCATAACTATCGCCGAACAATATTAGATCGTCTAAATAAATGACACATAGAAAACCGCGATTTCTTAAAAAACTCATGACTGGCTTAAA